TTGTGTACCCTCAACTCCCAAAACTTTGAAATAAATGAAGTTATTTTTATTAAACTCTACCCTGAATGAAAATCGATTGAGTAAACCATAAAAAACCTGGCAGTCTTTACACAACAGTGAAGGGGACTATTAAGGAAGAGAGACAAACAAAGCAGAATTTTCTTTATTCAAATACAACGCGATGATACGTTTTTCCTAAGTAGTGTGGCGGGCGAGTTCTAAAAGAGTATTGTCGCTGGATTTCAGAAAAATTACATTACATATCCAGAATATCGACCCAATAGAGTGGATCTTGACACTGCTTTACAAATATCGCAGCGTTTTTCAGTAAGCTGTGTTATTGACAAAAATCAGAGTCGAAATATATTCCAAAGAAAGGAATAAATAACATTTTTTTCGAATTTAATCCAATAAGATTGTAATTTTTGGTGGCAATCATCTTGGTTAAATGGGATTGTGCCGAAACTTACTCAACAGTTTAATGTTTAAACTTAAAGACATTTTTTTGTATAAATATGTATAAAAGCTTTTTGTGTTCAATTTGTATTAGTTAAAAAAACGGACAAGTCATTTATATAAAGAAAAAATAACAACGGTCTGCATACAGATCCTTGTAGAATACCAAAATCAATAATTATTTTACTATTTATTCACTTCAACTATTTGGGTTCATTAGTTATATAGGTCAATAATCCCTTTTAGGCCATATTTATGTGTAATTTCATAAGTAATAGTTTATAATTCAGATCGAAAGCCTTAATTTGTGACATGACGACTATTTTTAATGTATATAGACCCTATAACCTACGTAGCTAACAAAAATATAACCAAGAACGTATCGTCCATTTAGAATAATGGTGGTTATTTTAATATACTTAGCCAACGGTGCTAATATGCGTGACCCTAGTATTATTCAATATAATCTACGTTACAATCAGTATCACCCTTCCCTATTCAATATTAAGCTTATTACTGCGTATACGAAGATTTCTAAGCCCGAATATTCAAATTATTTTGTTTCGCCCCGAAAAATCCAATTATACAAAGCCGACTGTAAAAAACACACGTATGAGTGGACAAAGAGAATATTTAATTCCGAGCATCTCGACTGGAAATAATTAAAATTTCGCTGCACATGTTTCGAAATTAAATTTTATAATACTGTAGCAAAATTTAGCGTCTCATAAATAATTTAAATCGTACATTCTTAATTAGCTTTCCTAAATATGTACAATGTGGCCAATTTGAAAACAGAATATTCTTTTATAATTTATACAAATATATACAGAGTGTTCCAATATTTCATGTACATGGAGCTACCACAGTTTATTTGTATCCCAAATTGCTTCATTCAGCTACTAGAGAACATCAATGTTGACAAAAAAAGTAGTTTTTTTCTTCAAATTTGGTACACTAATACTTTCATGCATGACACAGTAAACAAAGTAATTAGATTAACAGAATTTTATCTTCAAGATGAAGGATTTGCTAAATACTTTCTCTCTTTTAAAATTCTTGTGTTTGTAATGGTTTTGGGTTAATTATTTCTTTTTATTACATTAATACTAATGTATTTTCGATTTAAACTTGAAATATGTAATTACAGAAGAAATTTGTTGTAACAGAAAAAAATAACTTGTAATGGACTGTTCCCTAATAAGAACTATTCAATATGGCCATTGCTTTCTGTAACGCATATATTAATTCGCAAAAGCTGTACTGTTGTCAGTATTTCTTCATTTAGCAAATCCAAATAAAAAATTACAGGGATGTCAGTCAGATGAACGTGGTAGCTATTCAATTGAGCATCATGTTCCTTCCTATCCATCTGCCTGGGTATTGATCATTTAAATGTTCCCTTACATTGTGACTGAAATCAGTTGGCTCTTCTTCTTGCATAAAATACGTGTGATTATGTAGGTCAACTAGTAGATGGTCAAATGTGTAATTCCGGCAGAATCTTTTCTAAACAATCTAAATAACTGTTCACCGAGATAGTTTGGTAATCTAATAGGACTAAGCAGAATGTTACTGATAAATCCAATACGTTATATTAAATTTACGCTGAAAATGTCATTCCCTCATGACATGAGGATTTTCATCTACGTAAACATGCTGGTTATGGAAATTTAATATCCCACGTTTCGATTTGTTCGTGAAAAGAATTTTCTTGTAAAAGTTCATGTCTTCAGCTCTATATTGGAGAATAATTTGCGAGAATTGAAGATGATCCTGACGATCAAGAGGTAGATGTTGTTGAACTGTGTGAACTTAAAAAGGATGAATTAGTTGTTCAATTATTCACTGTTAATGTGACATTAGTTCCAGATTCTATTCTACCTTTCCAGAATTTCGCCCACAGTGTGTGTTCAAGCTTGATGAGGACGTCCGTGTTAAATTTAAACTGACCAATTTCTCGAAGTTGTTTCTCACAACATCATTAGTTAAAAATAAACGTCTGGTTAAGACAATTTTAGAGAAAAAATGTTGAAAAACGTTACTCCATTGTACACTTCAGTAAGTGTCTTTATATAGGTTTAATTGTAAGTCTACTTACGTTGACTCCATGAGTCCATGGTTGAACGATGTCCCAACCCTTCTGGAACACCCTGTATAAACGAATTGGAATTATAGAGTACAGCACTTCAATTGTTATGATAAAGTAACTTTAATCTGACCGCACTGGTTTAGTAATCCAATGTTATCCAAACTTTGTTATTGCAATCCTGTGCTTAATGATCAATTCCGTGGCTTCACAATTGGATAGTAGTTAGGAAGCCAAATTGAGGAGAAATTCAATAAATAGTTTCAGGATTATTGGTAAATGCTTCCCTCCAAGTGTGTCCTGCTGGAACCAGGAATAGACATTCCATACCTATCCTGCTTCCTGGTTCACTGAGGCTGACATCATTTTAATTATTATTGATGCAAAAGTCACTTATTTTATTTATTGTTCTCTACTTTTTGTGCTAATTATATATACAGTAGAACCTCTATAATCCGGCGTTATTTTTTCCGCGTTTTTTTTTTACTATTTTTGAAGAATACAGTTTATACAGTTATAGTTTAGTTGAAAGATTATTTTACAGAAACATAAAAACATTACAATATGCGTATACAACTGTAATATGTATGTATCTATGTACCAATCTCTTTGTTAATAAACAATTAAAAGTAACGTTTTTAATTTAATACTGTTTACATATACATTTTCCATTAATTCGAATTTTCCAGTACTCCGGCACTCTTAGGTTTTTAATGGTGCCGGATTAGTGAGATTGTACTGTATTTGTATCTAAATATATCCAATCTTTTAAATACAGTTTAGGAACACTGACAACTAATATAATAATACCAAACTTTTCTTAATGAACTACACTAGCACAGAATATAACAATATTTTGACTACAAAATTATAGATTAATACCATTAATTATAATGATGAAAAGTTTGGTTTTCTGGAAATAAACATTAAAGGTAAAAAAGTTGAAGATTCTGATAACACTTTTCCAGGCAACACAAAATACAGAAGATAATATGTAACAGAAAAGAAAGTGAAATTAGAAAAGTTGTAAATAATTGATAATCAACAAAGTTATTATGAAAAATTAATTGAAAAAGCATCTCATTTTGTCTATGTGATGGATTAATGTTTGCGAACATAAAATATGTTTTATATAAAAAAAAATACAAAGAAACAACTGTTTGCAAGACCTAAATATAATAAATATAAAAAATCGTTTGACAACATCTGTAAAGTACCTACTCACCAAATAATTGAAATGTAATTACATGCTTTTTATTGCGCTTAATTTCAATGTAAATGTCGCACTCCATTATTCCGGTTTTTTCTTATTTTTGTTCATTTTCCTCAAAAAAATATAAATGTATGAGAGGAGATGGTCGAAAGAATATTTTATGAATGTAGCGATCAATCTGGAGACGATCCCGCCGCTTTTTTAGATTTATCTCTTAATATTACTGCGGAACAATATACCGAATGATAAAGTAGTCTACTCATGAGTAACATCTTAATAAATTTATATGATTATGGAATTCCTTGCGGTGAAATAGAATAGAGCGTTAGAAGAACCTCTGTCAGGTTTCGAGAACGTTGTCGGTTTCATTTTAATTTATGGAAAATACATCAAATTTTCGTTATTATTTTACATACATTTCAGTAAAAGTTTAGATATTGTCTGTAGGTACTTATTTATAGCACAGTTTGCGCTTTTGAGTATTTTGAAAAACTATAAATATATTTTTTGTAGAATAACAATAATATACTAACCTCATACTAAAAAAAGCTTACAAGTGAAATATTCGCGTTACTATGTCACATACTTCACTTAGGCAAAAATAGTTTCATAAAAACAATACATGACTGGTACTTATGACAAATTTTTAAATTTTTTCATTGGTGACGAAATACCTAAATAAACACAAAAAATAACAGTTACGGGTGCAAATTTGGGTTTTTTGCAACGTCATATTAATTTTTATCATTATTAAAGCCTAAGCTGGCTCTAGATAATAAGCTCATTTGTCAAATAAAAACAAATGCAGTATGATATGGACAATGCATACATAAGCGTACATTTGACAAATGTCGCATCGTGTCGATGATGTATATTGATGCATTCGAAAGCAAGTCTTCATTTGCAAACACATAAAGAAAATGAATTTTCAGAGATATTTTTCATGTGTTTTACACTTGACGCAACTTGGCGCTATAGATTTTGTCCAAATCGTTCGATTTGATATATGTTTAGCAAGTGACCACACCATCTGAAGCCAGCTTTGTACAAGCGTGACTCACATATAAAATATAAATATAAATATATATAAATATAAAATATTTGAGTTATCTTCAAATTATTAATTTTTATATAAGGCTTTAAATTTTAAAATAAAAAACATATTTGACTTGTCCTCGTATATTAAAACACTATTAGCTTCTTTAAAATTGTAAATTAAACGACTGCCTTTGTTTGTTGCAGATGGGAAACGTACAGATATCCATAGCAATAACCATAGCAGCCATCTGCGTGATCGTAGTTTTGTTCGTGATATTCTTCACCTTCTTTCACTCCGTTAACTTTTTAAGTTGGGTGCAAGCGTGGATCTTCTCTAACAAGGAAGAGATGATAGGACTAACAAAGCTTAAAGGACACTACAACGCTAATGGGTATCTGGTAAGTTAAACTCGTTACTTTGAAAAGGTATGACAGAATTTTTTGTAATGTGAAGAAAAAAATGCTTTTTGCTTATACATGATTACAATTTTGTAATTTTTTGCACAAAATGTAGGATTGTGACGATATATATAAAATTAAAAAGAAAAATTGTTCGTTAAGCGAATGAATGCCATTTGTTTTGTAATACAGTGTTGTTGAGGAAAAGGTTCAATGGGCCATTTTGACTTAGCTTAATAAAGTTCAATTAAAGCATTAGCTTTTATTATGGTTTACATATTATAAAGTCCCTCCGTCAAGATGCTTTTCATTCCGATCATGAACGAAGATTTTAATTAACAAAATTAATGGAAACCCAGGCAAAATGATTTAAAATATCAGAAAAATTAGCATCTGAAGTTGATTTACTGTGCAAATAAATATCTCATTACCAATCGTTTGAGTAAAATAAATATGTGTCATTATGGTTGATTTTTAAACGTTTTGCAACATTTACCTTCTGATTTATGCTTACACATTACCACCATAATGTAAATTTACCACCATATACCTGTAGGGATGCCGAAATGAGTTGTAACAGAATAGGGGAGACTTGGGAAAATTATTCCTTTGACAGACCTTTAAATCTGTGATGTAATTTATCATAAAGTATTGTAATTCTCATAACAATTAAGGCAAATGTACCAATAACTTAGAGGTTAGGTATTAATTATATTCTAAACGTTAAGAAAACGTAAAAGAAAACATGTACAAGAAACAAAACCAGACCAATAGGTATTTCCTTTTTTTGTCTGTTACATACCAACATACCAAAAATTTTATGGCAGGGAAGACTGGATCAGAATGTTTATAAAAACATCAACAGTTGTCAGTTAAACGAGCATATGTTTCAAACTTGTGATTTGGATATTGGCACCTTACCACAAAATGTTCATTTATTATGTATTACAAATTAATATAAATTTCCATTATATGTTATTTATATTCAATTTTATTTATAAATCACATTAAATAACAAATAGAAACTAAAAATCAGTTAGAAAAAATTGTTTATTTCTGCTTTGTGTTAGAATTGCTCCAGTGACTGATACAACTGTACCAAGATTGAAGAAATATCGATTTGAAATTTTCAGAATCGAGTTTTTTTTTCATCCTAGAAAATGATAAAATAACAAGAAAAAAAATTAAAAAAAAATCAATTTTTGACGATTTTTTAAATTTTTAAAAATCTTGAGCGACCTCTAAAAAAATTTTTTTGAGCTAATTTTTTGAGGGGGCTCTTAAAACATGATAAACTAACATAGAGACTCAAAAAAATATTCGTTTTTTTGGGCCACCCTAATGTACATTGCTACCAAATGCAACATTAAAACCGACATTCAAATTTTAAAACTTAAGAAACATGCATTGTCTTCACTTCAAAAGAAATATACATAATTCTGATACCCTCAGAAGCCGCGAACGAAATGTTCACGATACTATATAATGTATATTTTAAAAACCTTAATATTTGTTACTTTGTACAACAATTCAAAATCGGTAGTAAAACACACAAAATTGGATATAATGTACTCAATAGTTTACAATAAATAGCAAGGAGCTGAGAGATAATTATTTGAATATACTCAATATCCTCCATTTGGAACACAGAATTAATACTTTATTTGCTGCACTTGTAATTCTAATTAAAAGGTATTTGCACTTATTTTGAAGTCAGGTTATTATTTCTGGATTCAAAACGTTAAATTTTACGCCGCTTTTGGATTTTTCAATTGGTTACTTTTTATTGAAATGCTTATTTACTTATAATGCATACCATTTCTTTAGAATTAATTATGTTTTTGTTATTAAAAACGATACTACAAAATAACACATTATCAATAATTTTTATTATTTCTTAGAACTTGTTACAGATTATTTACCTTTATTTTTTGGAATAATGGTTTTGTTAATTCAAAATCAAATTTAGATATGGTAACATATCATTGTACCATTACCATACCTTTATATTACTAGCATACGTTACCTTAGTCTGCTTTTGTTATAGTCGACACGTATCCTGCCTGTCGAAACCTACAAAAAACTACTTGAGCAAATTATTGGAAGACGGTACTTCTTTACTTTCCTTTCGTGATCAACTGAATTATATATAATTCAACTACCCGGAAGCTGCAGCCTATATGCGAAGACATCAAAGTTCGCTGCAAAGTTCATAGAAGTTTTTTGTTGAGAATTTCGCTCAGCAATTAAGGGGGCTGTTGTCACTGTCAAATTGCTCTTTATCGATATACAGTCAACTACCTAGGTATGCATATTACCTCACTAATTTAGTTACGCTTCATTTCTGTCAAATACGTTCGCTCCTTTTGGTACCCTTGCGTTTGATAGTGTCGCAAATGTTTGCAAGCCACTGAAACGAATTGTATGCACTGAAATGGTGATGATTTATTTACATTGGTATGTTGTATTCGCTATTTCTAAATTGGCTATGGACGTGCTGAGATCTTGGAAACTATAAAGGATGTAAACACGGTTAAGTAGGAGAAAATTTTAGATTATTATTACAGTATGAGTTTCCCTTTTTGACAAAACAATCGAATGTTTATTTTAAAACCTCATACGTACATCATATGCATCAAACTTTCAAGTGGTGTGTGCTTGTGTAATTCTTAAATCTGTTTCTAAAACATTTCTTTTATAATAAGGCGAAATCTCCTTCCCCTGGCTTAGTTGTAAATATAATTTTATTCTTCCGCCATAAATTAAAGCTTGCGCAGGTGTGCCTAAAAAATAAATTCAATTAACGGGAGGCTGAAGTTATTCGATTTAATCCGGGAAGGGACACATGCTACGTGATTCCGGGAGCAGCGCGTAATGGTAATATGGGATTCAAATACCCCTCCCTGATTTAATTGAAAATCCAATAAGAACATATTAAAGTTCGACCGAATTCGGTTCCCAAAATTTAATAATGAATTCCTGTTAATAGCTAAAATGCGTACAATTCACCTTTTTTGGATTTTTGATTGGAATAAAAGGAATTTAAATGTGGCATATAATTATCTCATTAAACAGTTTCATCCGGATAATACCAATGCAGTGTTACCCTCTTGAAAATATATCGTAATATAGATCTAATTTATGTCGATATTATTAAAGACTTCCAGAACTCGTATTTGGATGAAAGGTATACTTAATGTTACCTGAAATGGCTCATAAGTTAAAATAGGTATGGTGAAACAGATAATTTCAATATCTCGAATACATTCACTGATTTTAAAAGCGTTAAAGCTCTGATTAACGTTGATTTCTGCTTTTTCGTTGTTTTGCCTTCACATTATCGCAAAAAGTAAAAGGCTGGAAATGATATGGGACCAACAGCGACCTGTCAAACAATTGTCATAGTCTAAATTCTACAGACCCCTAAAGAAAACTGAGTTGTTATATCGCCGAAACCGTAAATCTGAAAATAGAGATGTTCTGACAGCTTAAATGATCCAGGCATTAAAGTGGGAATGTCAAATGTATGGTTTTGTTAATGAAAAAGTAAGTCAATTAAATCAACGTACATATAAATATAGAACTCAATGGTTTAATGGAGAATTATATGAAATGTGTTTGATTAAAAAGTCATTATGGCAGAGAAATAACCGCTCTAAATCTCTTGAAGACTATCAGCTCCATTGAAATTATGCCAACAGACTTTTAGGACAGTTACGTCGTGCAAGATCTTCTTTTGAAAATAAATTAATTGAAAAAGGGCCCAAAAAATCCTTCGAAACTGGCCAGTTACCAATGGATTGGAAATTATCTAGTGTGACACCAATTTTCAAAAAAGGTGACAAACTTTTCAGTACCAATTACCGACCTGCCAACTTGACGTCTGTGCCATGCAATGTTGTAGAGAGGATTATTTGTGAAGAGTTGATCAAATTTTTACTTAATATTGATATCATGCCTCAACACCACCATGGATTACTCCCTCATTCAGTTGTGTCAAATTTACAGTAAGCTATTAATTCCTGGACTTTATGTGCAGACAATGAACAACCCTTAGATGTTCTATACTTACATTTTTCTCGAGCCTTTAATAAAGTGTCACACTCCCGTCTGTTGAATAAACTGAACTATTTCAGTGTCCGTGGCAAACTTTTAAACTAGATCAAGTCTTTTCTAGAGAATCGCCATTTTACGGTTCGTGTTGCTGACAGTTCCTCCGAAAAATGGAAGGTATTATGCAGTGTGCAGCAGGGTTCAGTTCTTGGACCAATTTTATTTCTAATATACGTGTCTGATCTTACCAATAACTGCAAGTGTTATCTTATGCAGATGACCTTAAATTGTTTTCCTCATCTTCTTCGCTTTTACAAGATTATCTTGATACGATTATGAATTGGTGTTCCGAATGGTTGTTACCTCTTAATTCCGAAAAGTGCTGAGTGCTACACATGTCCAAAACCTATCCTAGACTAGCATATAACATTAATGGAATCGAACTACCGAGTGTGACATATCAAAATGATCTCGGCGTTGTTATAACGGAGTCTCTCTCCTGGAGTGCACATGTTACTAAAGTTGTGAAAAAGTGCAATCAATTAATTTTCAAAAATAAAAAATCTTTCTGTAACCGCACCATCAGTATGTTTCTCAAGCTATATAATCCCGTGTTTGCTCTGAGATAGAATTTGCTGTAGCCATGTGGTCTCCGTTATTCCGTTATTAAAGCAGGACATTGCTAGATCGGAAGGTGTTCAAAGGCATGCTAGAAAACTCCCAGTCGGTTTTCAATATCTCACATATGAAGAACGTCTTATGCGCCTCCGTCTTCAATCGACGTACTCGTGGTGATCTCATAACAACTTATAACGATGGAACAATGTTTCAACTAAACACCGATTCTCGTCTTACAATTAGAGGTAACTCCTTCAAACTAGATGATATTTTATTGTGTTTGTAATTCTCGTCATTTACAGGGTGTCCCGAAATTCATGCAACAAAAT